AATAAATGAATCAATAGATAAAAAAACATAATTTTTTAAAAAAAAAAAAACAAAAAACTCAAGCCAGGCACATACATGTGCATGTACAAAATCCTGAGAGGAGAATGGAGGAGAAGGAATTGCAGCATGGCTGTCCCCCCGGGGGGGGATTTTGTGCTTTCTATCTCTCTGTGTCTCTCTGGCAGGCACACGTGCCCTGAAGCAAAAATCTCTCCAAATAAAATGAAAGCATGAAAGAGACTAGCAATGTAAGAGTGGGAAGAAATATATTTAAATATACGTACGTGTGTGGCAGACACATGTCAGTGCCTGTTCAGCACACATGTCCCCTTCTTTCTGACTGTTAACTGAACCACAATTTTATAGCCAATAGAAAATACTTGATATCAGAGGAACTTGTTCCAAACCCTGAAATCAAATTATGATTGGTCAAAAGTATTTTTAGTTATCCCATTTCCGTTTACCAGTGATTAGTCTAGAGGTGGGCATATATTCTAGTTCAGGCCAATGAAATGTAAAGGGAAGTCTTGGCATGGGGCATCTAAGATCTCCTCTTGAATTCTGAAACAGAACTTCAAGAAGAGAAAGTCTTTTTTGTCTTCAAACCTTTTTTGTTTTTATTTTTTTCCTGTGAGGAAGTGATGTCTGGAGCTGTAATAGCAATCCTGTGATCATGAGGTACAAGTACAAAAGGTGAATGAAGGATAACAGAAAGAGACTACTTAAAATCATTAAAAATCATGTTGTGGGAGTTTGAGGTGCCAGACTCCCACACGGCCAATATAGTTTGAGTCCTGGCTCTGGCGGCTTGCTTTCTCACTTTCTCTCTCTCTTTCATGAGGACATGTGCCCTATAGCAAATTTTAAAAATAATAATAATAAATTAAATAAAATAAATAATTATTTTTTAAAAATCATTGGGTGGCAGCAGGTAGCATGGTGGTTAGGGCGCTGGACTCTCACATGTCCAACTGTCATTTGAGTCCTAGATCTGGTGGCTTGCTTTCTCTC